TAACTCTGATTGACCTACGGATTTTTGCGCAAACTCGCCGATTTGTCTTTGGTAGTTACTGCCTACACCCGAACAGTGTTGAACTCCACTGGTCACGTCTTCTCAACTAGAACTCCGAGAATTTCCTCACGAAGCTAGTCACTAGTGCGCACTGTTACGATATTTTCGGGCAGAGTTTTGGAGGTTTTGTGTTTTTACACATTTGAAATCAGTTTCGTTTTATTTAAGAACTCGTTTATAAATTACCAGTTTAAAATCACTGAATAAGTTAAATTTTCTTAAAAAATTGTCACTTAGTTTAACTTCATATATAATAACAACCTAGTGAGCTATACACATGTTTTAATTGTCACAAAGATGCTACTTAAATATAAATAAATTGACCGGTTTCTGTAAGGGTTTATATGGACATTTTTTTAAAAAAAAACTCTGTAGTTACATTTAATTTCATTAAGTTGAATATTTTTTTATATTGAATTATATAGTTGAGAAAATAAACTCTACCAAGTGTATCTCAATGCTTCAGATCATTTTGGAACGCTTAACAGAAGAATATTGTATTAACAGGGGGACAGATGAAATGCCCGAAATGATAATCATATATTTTCACAGTTCATGTGTGTGATAACTTCGCAGAGCGTGATTAAGTGGTAAAAGTCACGAGACTTTAAGCAAACAGGACAGTTTCGTTCAAACGAGATGCATAAATGAGTTTGTTTAATTAAATCGAAGATAACTATGGTGAAATAATATATAGATGATTTACTTGTCTCAGTTATAAAAAAACTAATCGTTCACATGAATGGAATGGGCTACAAAAAAATCTTAAGCTAGCACAAGATAGACTTGTAAATTAAGAATACTAATAAAGTGTGTCATAAATTACCAAAGTAATAATGTGTATAACTTTACAATGGGGTAAATATTCAAATTTTTTTTAAAACTCTTGCCATATGCAAATGCAATCGCTTTCTTTTATTGATTATTCAGAAAGCAGTTTCTAATTATATGAAATCTTCTTTTCTATCGTTGATCTTAATTTTCAAAATCGAGGGTGATATTAATATCACTGACAATAGTTCTGGAGTTGATGTCAATCAGTGGTGAAAATTATCTGGAAAACCTATGTAACTTCACTGAGATCAACTATCTGAATAACAATTGCATTTTTGTACATGGAGATTATTCTATCAACTCTATATCTATCAAAACTATTAGATAAATTTCTAGTCAGAAAGTATTACTTATGATGTTCAAGTTCTCTAAAAGATTTTCAATCATTTTTAAATGATATGTCGAAATTTATCGTGCAAAAACAGATTTTTACAAACACTTTTTTTACAAAATCGTATTTTGTTTTGTGCTTTAATATTTAGCAACTTCATAACAGTCTCGTTTTATTCTTAAATGTGTAGCTTCATCTCATATTCATGAGAAAAGGTGACATTGCTTCCTTGGTTTTAAAAATCCATCGTTGAAATGAGATCTTTAATTGGTGTTTTCACATTTACAGAATAATCGACTGATTTCAAAAAGTTTGGCGTAAATATGTACAATTATTATTTACACAATTACTCAAATCGTGGCACTGATATATCTCTTCGATATAAATATATATAGATTGACAGTTTTCTTGATGAAAATGTCGGCTTTTGTCATGGCAAAAGCTTGTTAATTTTCAGCATGTATCTTCAATAAAATATTATTCCTTCATTAGGGTTTGACAATTGATATTTTCACTTCGAAATGCTCAGAACGTCTTAAGGAGTATCTTGTACATTTGTAGTGCCTCCATATATATTCGAGTTCGCTTACATTTAATTTGGTTAAGCCCTTTCGATTAATTTATTTAACCAAGCCAGTTGTATTCCGACAATTTATATGTACCATTCGTTCTTATTATTGTCTGGTTTGTATGAGGTTATGCGACTTGTTCCACATGTCATTTGACCTTGTCAATCATTCGTCGCTTTTATTCATGTGTGTGCATGCCTATTTCGTTTGTCATATGTCTGTCTTATATTTGTCTGAATACATATTCTTAGTCATGCTCTATCTTTTGGAATTGGCTCATTAGCCTTCTCCAACGCGCTTCTCCTGTTCATTCGCTTCCTCCGCCCATTCTTTCACATTGTAATCCTAGGAGTTGACTCATTAGCCTTCTCCAATTCACGTCGCTTCACTCGTTTTATTCACTGCTTCTCCGCTTCGCTTTGTGGTGTGCCAAAATAAACGTATTCAACACTTCGAGTTTACCTTCTGATTTATAAACCATCAGACGCTATTTAGTAACGATTGTCTAAACGAGCTAATCACCGAGCTTTAGGACACACAGTAAATCGGCACACTACACATTGAACCAACGTTGATTGGTAATTTTTTAAAATTGTACCACGACATAATCTTCAGTAATGTAGTAAATTTATTAAGAACTAAAATTGACCGATTTCCATTCAGATATATATTTTATTTCAGGTTACAAAATAATTAGTGATTTTAACTTGATAGTTGAACGTGCTAAATTTGCGTTTGTTTGCAGTTATAAAGCCTGTTTCGATTGATGCTTCATATCAGTATCTTTAATTCCTGAGGTTGGTTTAATGAATTTCAGTGCTTGATTTACGTTTATATATCACAAAAGTAAATATAATCATTATTCTTTTGTTTATTTCTATCAGTTCAAATAATTATTATCATACTATTGCATGTAAGGTTGTTTATTATCATAGAAAGTAAACACTTTGACAAACTAAACTTACATTCAATATATTTTAATCATAAAAAAATGTAATTTTGAAGTTGTAGCGTGAATTAAAACACTGGAGGCAAATTCAAACAAAATAACTAATCATAAAATAAAAATCTAGATAACAGGAAATAAGTATCATAATCTATCATGTCAGTGTATTACTATTATTATTATTATACAAATATATATAATTATTCTTGAAATATAATAAAAAATCAACCATAATAATAAAGCTTGATTTATTTGCTTTAGAATAATTTCTCACGTTTATTTTTCTGAATTTAATTTATGATATATAATTTATCAGTAAAATGGTTTAAACAAATAGCTAATTAATTGTTAATAATATACCTGAAACGATACAAGAAACGTTTGAATTTTCGGTTCACAAGTTTTCGATATCAATAATGTTTGAGGTCAGTGTTTCCATGTGATGTTCCTACTTGGTGAACTGAAGAGGTTGGTTGATAAGTTGGAACATTTACATGCATAATAAATAGCATCATCAACAGCAATGTAGAACTTTGCACGTAGGTAGAGCAGTCCAAGTTGCCATACCACACACATTAGCACAGAGACGCAATTGTCAATTCAAATCCAATAGTAGTAGAGGTAGTAAAAGTATTAAAAGTAATCGGAGAGATTAGGGTTCGAAGATGTTATTCAAGAAGTATAATTCAGTGAGATGAATTTATAAAGAGCAAGATAGAGGTGATGAGGAATTCAGAAGGTTAGAATTTCATAGAACACAAAGAGTTAATGCACTTGGGCCACTGTAAATGGTTTTGAGTCATGTCACTGAAGGTCTCTAACCATTGGTGACTTTCGTCTCGCCGACCCCAACCAGGTAGTCCACATATAACAACATGACTCAGTCAACTAGTCAGTGACTTCATGGATTTCTGCCATGTTTTGGTTTGGCCGCCCCTAACTTTCTTCCAACCTATTCCTACATAGGTCAACAAAGCAGTCGATGGTTAGGCATACCCAACACATGTCCCAACCACCTCAAATGACAAAGTCTTATGACTTTATCTATTGACCTGCCATCCTTACCTAACACCCGTTTCCTAATGGCAGTATTGCTTACTCGAATGTCCCACAATACTCGAGAAATGCTTAGGAGGCACCGATGGTTGAAGACTAGTAACCTACGGAAGTCCTCTACTCTTAACGGCCATGCTTCACAGCCATTAAATAGGACGGGACGAAACGCTACGCAGTAAACTCGTCCTTTGGTTAGGAAACGGATATCTCGCCTTCGCCATAATTGACGCAAGTTGGCAAAAGCAAATCGAGCTTTCTGTATCCGTGCCTAGATTGCGTCAGTCACCAGGCCATCGGCACTGATGAGACTCCCAAGATAAGTGAAGCGGTCTACACGCTCAACTACTTCACTCCCTATCAATAGTTCAGGTGCCGATGCAACCCAATCTTGAAGTAACATTTTTCAATTCGAGAGGGAGAACCGCATCCCGAACATGCTTGCATTGTTGCTTAGGGTAGTATACATAATATCATGCTTTACAGGGCTAGTATCATTAATCTTTATAAGCGTTTATTCGCTCATTTTTGTGTAGTTAAAAACCTTTTTTTCACTATTAAGATGAATATATTCATCCTTTTAACTTATCCAGTAAGGTTAATTATATTCTTAATTCAAGTGTTTTTTTTTCTTTTTGAATATACATCATTAGTAAATTTTACTTAGAAAAGCTTTTGTTATGCATGGTTGAAAATCTAATAGCTTTCAGATGGTACCAACTAAACGCAAATGTAACTTGTTTCCTATTTAATTAGTAGATAATTATCAATGTTCTATCATGATTTGCATGTCTGACTTCAACTAACTAGTTTATCGCTTGAGAGCTATCCAAAAAAAAACTGATAAAAGATTATGAGAGAATAGTTCAAGAAATTAAATCAATGGTATAATTAAAGAGTGAAGAAATTTACGTGCTCAATAAATTAGGGAATGTCATTATCATATTAAATAAAAACACATAATTATTAAAACGAAGAATAGAAAATTCTAGCTAATAAATTGTAAAAACGAGGAAAGAGTTGCATAACTTTGAATGAGTTGTTACAGTGAATTATAACAAGTAATAATTGAACAGAAGGATGGGAAGGTAGGTAGAAATAAAACATGTTTTTAACATCTATCGACAAGTGAGGTTACTTTGAACGTAGTAGTTAGTGAGAAAAATAACCAATGTTAAATAAGGGAATAAAAACATCAAGTTGTATCTTAACAGTGTAGATTTGGTGTACATTTAGGCAAAACTCTAAGGTAATCTATCTTTCTAAAGTGAAAAAGGTAAAATACATAACATTCAATAAATGTTCATCGATTTGGTGTTTCCTGACGACTTTTATGCGCAAATTAGTTATCTGTTGTCCAACTATAGAGTATCTTGAACATACCTAGTAATGTTTTACCTTTGATTAGATTTCATAAAACAGTTGATATTTTGGATAGATATGAGCCGCGAAAGGTGTATAATCCATGTCATTTTCGATAACTTCTCAACAATTAGGTAAAAGAAGAAATAATCATGATGTCAACTGTGAAAATATTGCAATCTATACAAATCCTGTATACGAATAACAATGATGTACTCACTATTATTTAGCCTCAAGATATATTTCTGAAGTTACTTCAGTGGAACTCCGTAACCAGTGGAGTTCAAGCGCTGTCAGATGTAAGACCGTTATCGGCTGCAGGCAATCGTTGATGATTGCATAAGAGCATGGGATGATTGAAGTTAGACATTAACATAGTTGGTTTAGAGGTTAGGCGTTTGCGAACGAAACTGAATGTCCTGGGCCCAGCTCCCGCGTGCGAGGTCCAAAGTGCACCCTGTCGAAGAGTCTCATACTGGGACGAACTGGCCTTCTTCAGCGGTGGTCAAGATAAGATTAGTTCATGACTTCAACTATGCTATCTTAAATAACTTTCGTGAAGCAAATCCTAGACACTGTCACTGTTTAGCGTCAATTTTATGAGCAGTGAATCGTAATTTATAGAACGACGTTATCTAAATTTTTGTTTAGTTCTATGTGTGGAAATTCACCATACAATAAACTTCAGGTAAGTTTTAATGTCGATCAACTATAACTAGTGCCTATGGAATGTATAGTCACAATAATCAATCTAAATATTGCGATTTGAGTGTCGATTCGTAACTAATAAATAATATTTCAGTGATCCTTATCAATATCTTTATACTTACTAATTCTGGAAAAAATTGAAATTTAGGAAATCAGTTAGTAAGAGTTGTATTTTATTTTAATTTATAAATGCAGTGGTAGTCTTATTACAGTAGCAACAAACCAAGAACTCACAAAATCAACTGCATACTAACTTTGTTCAAGAGAGCGGAGACACGCTGCAGCACATATGAAGCACTAAAAAACGAGGAAATGCATCTGATGACTATCTTCCAAAAAAACGGCTTTCCACGCAACTTCATCAAAAAAACATCAACCGAAATCGTTAACAGAAGCGAAATCAAGTACACGAACCAATAGACGGATCATCCTACCATACATATCGGAGCATACAGTACGACTATTTAGACCATTTGGAATAGATGTAACACACAAACCAATAGAATCACTTCAATCAATCCTATGTAGACCGAAGAACAAAATAACAAAAGAAGAAAAACCAAATATCATTTACAAAATAAATTGCTCAGATTGTGAAAAACACTACGTAGGACAAAGTCAACACATGAACACCAATTAGCAGTCAAATGACACGATAATTCTCTTTTATATCAATACACACCGGCAATTGTGGACATACATCCGAATGTAACAATGTGGTAATACTGGATAGGGGGAGGACAAAGAACAATAGAGAATTTTTAGAAGTTTGGCACTCAGGTCTATAAGCAATCAACAAGTACATCGAAATTGGCCAACCTATTTACCAACCTATCAGAAAAATCATAGGCGAACATAGGATCAAGAAACAGATCAAAAAGGGGATACAATCAAAACAAAGTGGCAAACAACGACAGATTCAAGGCTAATAGCAACCAATCAAGATCAAGGTTAACAGAACAAGCTGCGGGTCAAACGTGGAGAAATTCAAATACTTCACTTCTGTCTGGAGTTTATGCTGATAATGTTGTTCAAAAGAACAATGAAAGCTCCACAACCAAAGCATCCAGATCAGAGAACGAGACACCATCACAATCATCAACTTGAGCTACAATTTTTCTCCACCATCACAAAAAGTATCAGTTGTAAGCATATAATCAACTATCAAGATGATTAAGAAATTGAAAATATTTTCTATATAACGAAAATAAAATTCAATAAACAATAAAACATGATTTACACAAGATGAGCATTACTTATAATATAAGTTTCAATTATAAGTGACTATCAACAATGAACTTTTATATAACTTAATTGATGAGATTGACGGACAAGTATCTATCGATAAGTGTATGTATGGTTGTGAGAAACGAGTCTTCTAACAGAGGTCGAAATCGCCTTAGAATTTTACTGGGAATATGACGTGATTTTTACTAAACAGTTGATGCCTGAATTCTACATGTAATATAAAATAAAATTGCTAACTTTTCTAATTAGATAATGAGATTCTTATAGTGATCATATTTTTTTGTATGAACTCGTTGATATTATGGTTTGATAGTGTATTTCTTGTCTGTATATGTCTCCTAGATTAGAAGTAAGTAAATACGTGTGTTTGATAAATTCCCTTACACAGTTTCATAAGTAGTCTGAATTGATTTGGAGTTCAATATTGCTCATAGTTTCATATAAAAAAAATCATGTTCATGGAATTCATTATTGTTACGCATGAACGTAAACATGTCATTTTGATATGCTTGAACTATTACGAGTTTAGCTTAGTCGGAAAACGAGAGCGAGGATCGATGATCCGGTGACACGACATGCTACTTTAATTCGACTGTCCCAAACCCCCATTGTGTGAAATAAGAAGACTTGATATGAAGTAGAATGTGTATTCTACAAGCATCCAGAAAGTACGAGGTCCGAGTGCAGAAGCGAATCAGGATCCCGGACTAGGGATCCGGGTCCGGGTCTGAGTCATAAAACGTTACATATAATGCGTATTTATGCATTCAGGTCGAATAGAAAACAGCATCGAAGTCTGTGACATTGATAGTTAAGACGACCAATAGGAAGCAACCTTTGAAGTGGCATTGACAGTTTGGACAACCAATAAGAAACAACATTCGAGTACGTGGCAATGATATCTAGTACGACCATAAAATTGACCAGTAGGAATTAACCAATAGAAATTGACCAATAATTCTCTTAGGATATTGGATGAATATCCTAACAAGTGACCAATGTATTTGAATGATCATATATAGTCAATTGCAAAATGACAAGGTGTAAATAAAATAATAGTAATAATTTTCTAAATAACATGAATTTAAAGACAATCACTTCCATTAAATACATGTTTTAAAGGTAAATTTTATTTGCACCAAAACGTTACATTTATTTAGTGTATTCATAGCAAAACAATCAGGAGTTTGGAAACGAAAGTTTTTTTTGACAGAAATGATACATTTAATTGAAATATGAGAATGAACGGTGATTATATTATTCAGTTTCATAATTAAATGCAAAGAAACATGAATAAAGACTCATTGTTTACGAGGAAATGGTTACTGTTAAGGTGTTTTGAAAGTGAACGGTTGTTTGTTCAATATATAAGTATACATTGTATCAAACTAAGTCATAATATCATCACAGTAAGCAAAAGGTGAAATTTTTTTCGAGAATATTTATCTGTTGTTAACCTTATGGGTAAAAAGATAAGCGTTGATACGCATTCAGTTGACATCTTCGTTATAAAAATTGACATTATTGGCCTCTGATATTGATGTCGGTTGGAATAGCCACAAATACGTACTGCGTGTGTTGAATATTCTCAACACAGTTCATACTGCTGAATTATTTCAGTTCCTCATAGTTAGGACTTCAATGAGTTAGACGGGCTTCCTCAGCAGATTGTCTGTTCATAGTTTTTAGTCATATGTTGGTTGTTGTTGATTTAGTCTGTTGTTAGCAGGCTGGCTATTTTGCTTTATTTTGAACTCATATGCCAAATGTATTATCATCTGAAGAGTGATATCTACACTGAAAATCAAAAGTATTACTTTTCGCTTCAAGCGCTAACGCATTAATCCACGTGTATTCTACAAGCATCCAGAAAGTAAGAGATTCTAGTCCAGGAGAAGGTAAGGATCCCGGACCAAGGATCCATGGCCGGTCCATAGAACATTACAGATAACGCGTATTTATACATTTTGGTCGAATAGGAAACAGCATCGAAGTCTGTGACTTTGACAGTTAAGATGACCATACAACTGACCAGTAGGAATTAACCAATAAGAATTGACCAATAACACTCTTAGGATATTGGATGAATATACTAACAAGTATACTGATTCACTAGTTCCGGATAAAATATATCCATAAACAGAAATTAACCAAGACTATAAGGCTCTAATGTTATCGTAGTGTTAGTAAACCAAAGTGAATAGATCAACTCTGAATTGTTTGTCTGACTTGTTTTCAATTCTAACTGGATG